TTATTATTTTTTCCACATCATCACTTTTTGACTATATTATCTTCCACGTGGATTATTAGATGACATGTCATCGTGTTCCCGTTAGTTAACAGCACACGTCACTAGATTTTTAATGGAAGGACCAAATCGAGGTAAAAATGGTAAACAGTAGGGACCAAATTAAAGATTTTTTTAGTTTAGGGACCAAATCGGAGGTCTGTACAATAGTTTAGGGACCAAAAAGGGTTTTAACCTTGAGCATACGGTTGAGGTTTATGAATAATTTGGTTTCTAAGAGAATGTAAAATTGGGAACAATAAAAAAGCTTAATTTAACGTCACATTATCACAATAAACATAGTTTTATATACATTTACATTTTAAATATATAACCCTCAAATAGAATTTCTAACAACACATTTTCTTTGATTTATATATCTAAATAAAACTTCTTCAATAGGTTGTATTAATATTGTTTTATTTAAACTATTTCAAATAAAAATATTTGAATGAGAAAACATTTTAAAAAAATGGTGTTGTATCAACAAAATTCTTTTTTAAAACATTACTACAATATATTAAAATTATGTCTCTATTATATTTTTGAAGAGAATTCGAAGTGCTCATGCTCTAAATAACCAAATATCCCTTAAGGCAAAACAAAACACCACATTCCATGGACGTTTCAAAAAAAAAAAAAAAAACACCACATTCCATGGAACATTTAAGAGAAGAAACGTTGTCCTCACGCTGGCAATTGGTTCCAAGCCAAGAAGTGAAGTCAAATCCTGTTACTGTGAAGAAAATGTGCCCTGTAGAAGATGATGTAAAATAGAAATATAGCTGGGACATGGTGTGATGAGGTGTTTTACAGTCTCATGGCCTAAGAGCATGTACAATAGGAATAGTAAAAATGCTCACTTTAGTATTATATAATTATAATTAATATTATTTAATATAAACTCATATTTTTATATATTTAATTTTTAAATTAAATACTTAACAAAATATCTTTCTTCTAATGCATATTTTTAACAGAGTTTTCTCAAATATCACATAATTATTATTTTATTCTATTTAAATTTTATATATTTAAATAAAATTTTGAACTAAAAAAATTATCAAAAAAAATCCCAACCATTGGATTCAAAATTTTTTTTATATATTTAATAAAATCCAACAGTTGTTTGAGGAAGTGACAGGCATTAAAAGAAATGTCTACCACTGCCTAACTGCCTAACATGCACTAATACGCATGTCATGCAGTCAAACTTTTCACTAGAAAAGGGACAAAAGTCGTTTTGGTCCCTTTCGGGTTAAAAAGATTTAAGTCCTAAAGCTCTCTCAAATGGTGGATATGTTCTATCTTTATCCTCTTTTGGAAAAGAATAATAATAGAAAAAGAGCAATTGATAGAGAGGATAAGAAATCAGAACTTTTCAGTGTTTGGTGTGATAGAAGCCACAGATGAAATGTTGAATTTTTGGAAGGGTAACAGCTTTTCAAATCTGTCTCCAACTCCTATTGTCCTGAAGAGGCATTGGGGAGTGCCCTTCCAAGCAATCCCGTCTACTCTAGAATGTGAAATAGGCAGAGGAATAGCTTTGATCTTGAGAAGAAAATCATCAGGTAGAGGGTGAGCAATACGATCAAACGCCATATCTCCAGCAACCACATAATCAAATCTCACAGTGGAGTGCTCGGCGTCCCTGCATTCCGCACCATTTCTTTTAATTTTTTTTTTTTTTTAAATGCACACCAAGGAGGTGAGGAAATCCTCTTTTGAATGAGGGTCAATTAAAGCTAGGAGAGTAAGTTCCTTTTCTTCTACTTTTTTTTTTTTTTTTTTTGGAGATGGAGATAACCAAAGTTTATGAAGGGCCTGTTCAATAACATTCGGTTTTTTGTTTTTCTTGTTAAAATTTGAATAATCAAAATTGACAATTAAAAATAAAAAATCAACGAAGCACAAATTTTAAAATTAATAACCAACCTTAAATAACTAATCAAAAGTGATCAATTGAATTACATTAATAACAGTATGTTTGGGTTGAAAGAACCAAGGGGAGAGAAAAATCTTTTTTATTTGATTATTGAAAGAGTTGGAAATGAGGGGAGGGAAAGAAGGGTATTTACTGTATTTATTTTTAATTAATTTATTTATTCAAATGAGAAGAAAGGAGGGAAATGAAATCATATAAGTCTCCCTTTCTCTCCCTTTCTCTCCCTTTCTTTGTTTTTTATTTCCCTCAATCCAAACGTACTATAAATTTCTTATTCTTCATTGTTGATTTCACATCTTCACTTTCATATCTTTATCTAAAATTTATCATGAATCAAAGCAGGTTTGGTCCAACTTTTTTAAGTAATTTTGATTTCTCCTTAAACCCTCTAATAATCAATATTGGGGGGTCTTTTTACCAAGTTTTGCTGTGTGAATTTCTAGCCAAAATGACAACTCTAGTTTTTCAGCCGAGATGACAAATTCTTTGCAGCGAGTCCATATTTCTTGCATTTTGTTCAACTTCCCATCAATTTCAGGAGAGTTCATCATTACAAGTTTAGAGGACAAACTACAAGCCTCTACAAATTTAGTATCTATCAATGAATCATTATGATTCAAGTTGAATGCGTCATCACAATTTCGTGATCCAACTTGAGGAGTATTGGAAAGTTTGATTTTTCTTGTATTTGTTCAAGATTTTTTTGAAGATAATCAAGGAAAGATTTGATATAACAAGAGAAAATCAAAATTTGAATCAAATCTCAATTTATGTAACTAAAATTTCTAAATCTCTAAATTTCGACCCATTATTATTTTTCATATTTTGTCTTCTACACTCATTATAAAAGTGAGGTCATACGTAATCATTCTACAAGAAATACAATCTATAACCCTTAAAACTCTTATGTGTGGGCGTAGGTCACCACTTATGGACATTAGTTTAATAACATTAGATCTCTTTTTTTTCATCTTTAACTTCACACTTTTGATTTCATATCTTTATTTAAAATTTATTATGCTTGGCAAGATGAAGGTTAGGGGTGAGCACATATAGGCATGGGTTAGATGTTTGTTCATACCTATACTTGATTTTTTTTTTTTTTTTTT